CAGCCAGCACGCACCAGCTCCCGTGGTCAGAGGCGCACCTGTAGACTGCGCTGTGGGAGCGAAGCCCTAGCTCTGCTTTAGGAGAAGAACTCACCTGAGGAGGAGATGTTCAACCTGTGGCTGGCTCGTGAGCCTCTGCGCTTTTCCACTTTTAGAGTTAACTTTATGATCGCTCAAAATTCAGAGAATATCAGCATTCTGCAACTATTCCCAAGAGTTTTCGGTTGACATTTCTACATAAAATGTATGATTTTATGCAGGAAGGACAGGTCTCTAAGTGCATTTAGGTGTCTGTCTCTCTCTTTTTTTAAAAAAATATATTTTACTGGTTTTTTGGGTTTTTTTTACAGAAAGGAAGGGAGAGGGACAGACAGTTGGAAACATCGATGAGAGAGAAGCATCGATCAGCTGCCTTCTGCACACCCCCCTACTGGGGATGTGCCTGCAACCAAGGTACATGCCCTTGACCGGAATCAAACCTGGGACCTTTCAGTCCACAGGCCGACGCTCTATCCACTGAGCCAAACCCGTTAGGGCTGTCTGTCTCTTCTTACAGTAGCTGTGCTACCAATCCCCACCTCACTGTTTTCAGAGCCTGACTTGGATGTACATAAAATTCATGTAACTGGAAGATACATGTCAATCTTGGTGCATCCATTCAGCCGTCTACTCAACAAGCATTTATTAAGCATCTACTATATGCCACATTCTATGTTAGATGCTACTGAGGCTGTAAGGAGGCAGGTCAGGGCCCTGTCCTGGGGAGTCTATAACCAGTACACAACACGCACACACATGCTGGGATAGAATACATAAAAGAAAAACAAACACAGAAGGTATCCTGGCATGTTCACGTCAGGATTAGCTAATTAGCTTGAAATTATAGAATCAAATCTTATAACATTTCTGAATGTAGACATGTTCTCTGTTGAGCAGCTCAGAGGCCCATTCACAAGTCATCTGGGGGAGTTTAAGGCTTGGAGAAATCCGCAGGCATACAAACCACATCCGACAAGCCAAACAGTGGTAATCAGCTGAGAAAAGGAAAGAACCTGTCTCCTCAGACAAATGCTTTCTCAGATTACGATGGAAAGCAAACACGAGAATTCAAAAATAGAACCACATTCCCTTTCATAACCGCCGTTTACGATGACAGCCCGAATTAGTGTAACCTCCTCGTGGACTTCTTGTACCATGAAAACGCTCTGCTCTCAGGAAACAAAAGGGCACTCTAGTCCTTTAGAGAAAAGGGATTGTTGTCACAAGCAACCTGTTGCCTGGCAACAAAACAGCAATGCCTCACACCTTTCTCCCAGCCGTGGAAGCACACAGCCTCACCCTCCCCTGCTCATTCCTCCTGACTTACAAACGCAGGGTTCTTTTAATAGGGTCTGTGGTTGGAAGAACTGCGTTCACAGTTGTAGTTTAAAACATGAGTCATTCTGAAGTCCTGTCAATTGCTAAGAACATAATCAAGTGGTCAGAGCCCGTGAAAAAGCCACGACATAAGACAAGAGGACACTGGGCTGGTTCCTTTTCTTTTCTTTTTTAACTCTACTGAAGGTTTCTCAGAAGTGTTGCTCCTTTGCCCCTTAGCCAAGGGCATCAGGTCGGTCCTCTCCTCTGGCTTTCACACTTAGTGTGAAAATGGATGCCCTGGCCGGTTTGGCTCAGTGGATAGAGTGTCGGCCCGCGGACTGAAAGGGCCCAGGTTCGATTCTAGTCAAGGGCATGTACCTTGGTTGTGGGCACATCCCCAGTGGGGAGTGTGCAGGAGGCAGCTGGTTGATGTTTCTCTCTCATCGATGTTTCTAACTCTCTATCCCTCTCCCATCCTCTCTGTAAAAAATCAATAAAATATATGTTTTTAAAAGAAGAAAAAAAAAGAAAAGAAAGTGGAATCACGCACCACAGCATCCAATTCTAACTCCACTGGGGCAAACCCCAGTCCGTTTCAATGCCTCATTCATGCCATTGCCCAGTGTTCCGTCAAAGTGAGCAGTTCCTGTCCCTATCGGATGTGTGTGTCACAGAACCATGGGGCACGGTGTTTGGAAGTGCGTTGCTAACCAACAATGTATAGAACAGAGTGTATTGACTCAGTGATATGACTCACAGATAAATGACTTCACCCTGCGGACCTCACACTGGGTGTGCCACTGCTGTGGGTTGACTCAGTGCTTAACCCTTCCAGGTACGGGGAACTCCTCTCGCCTCCTTCGTCCTTGGTGGCAGGCGTTTCTGAGCGGTGGCCAGGGGCCCCGTGGAGGGCACTGCGGCTGGGGCGGATGGCCCGGCGGGTTACCTAGTCTCAGAGCAGGGTTGGTTGTTTCTCCATGTTTGCTCCGCCAGCAACAGGGGCACTGATTGTGGGCAAATGCAAATTGCAGCAATTCGGCAGTTCGATGTATGATGGAGCTGTCACTCCCTCCCATGTGTTACCTTTCCCAAGCAGGCGTTTCAGTGTGTTTTTCTTGTCAGCGTTCTGAGGTCCTCGCCCCCTCCCCTCGCTGAGGGCGGGGATGGTGGGGAGTTCTGTCCGTCTGCAGAGGACGGTCCAGGAAAGGCTTGTAAACACTCAGGGAACCCTTGTCCCCCCCCACCTCCCCGCCATCCCCACACCACCAACACTGACCCCTTCAGCTGCAACCATGAAGGACATATTCCCCAGTTTCTTTGTGATTTGATGACTTGTCATTTTCTTCCAATCTTCTTTGCTTTCAGTCGACTTGCGGCAATAGCAAAGGCCAAAGTATTTAATTGGGCTCTGAAATGCGGGCCTAATTTCATTGCTGCTAATGGAGGGCTGATGATTCCCGCAAGAATGAAGAAGAATTTGTAGTCACAAGCTGGCCCAAGACGAAAGTAGGTTTGGTTTGTTTTTTTTTAAAAGACATTATTTTTAGAGTATTTTTAGGTTCACAGAAAAATTGAAGTGAAAGTACAGAGATTTCCCATATACCTCTGTTCCTACATATGCATACCCTCCCCCACTCTCAACACCTCCCACCAAACGGTACATTTGTTCCACACGATGACCACACACTGACACATCGTCATCACCCAAAGTCCATAGTTTACAGCAGGGTCACTCTGGGTGTTGACCGTCCTGTAGACAGGTGTATACTGACACGTGCCCATCATGGCAGTGCCATCCAGGGCCATTTTATTGCCCTAAAAATCCTGTGCTCCACCTACTCATCTCTCCCCTCCCAGCCCCTGGGACCCTGATCCTTTTACTGGCTCCAGTTTTGCCTTTTCCAGAATGTCATAGAGTTGGAATCACACAGCGTGCAGCCTCTTCAGATGGGCTTCTTCCAGGGCTTCTTCCACTAATCATATGCGCTTGCATTTTCTCTGTGTCTTTTCATGGCTTGGTAGCTCATTTCTTTCTAGCGATGAACGATAGTCCATTGTCTATATACACCAGTTTATTCATTCTCCGATTGAAGGACATCTGGTTGCTTCCAAGTTTGAATAAAGCAGCTATAAATGTCCACGTGCAGGATTTTGTGTGGACATAAATCTTCACCTCCTTTAGGTAAATACCAAGGATCACCGTGGCTGATTGTGCGGTGAGAATGATCAGTTTTGTAAGAAATCACCAAACCGTCTTCCAAAGTGACTGTACCGTTTTGCATTTCCACCAGCGGTGAGTGAGAGTTCCTGTTCCACATCCTTGCCAGCATTTGGTGTTGTCAGTGTTTGGGATTTTGGCCATTCTCATGGGTATTCCTTTTAATTTGCATTTCCCTGATGACAGAGGAATGGAGCATCTTTTCCTATCTTCCTTGCCACCTGGATATCTTCCTTGGTGAGGGGTCTGCTAAGGTTTGGCCCGTTTTTAACCAGGTGGTTTGTTTGCATGTTGGGGGGAATACTTGTAAGGAGTAAGTTAATCTCTTCATCATCTAAACGCCCAGATGTGTCGGCTGTGCCCCTAGACCCCAGGACCCGCCGCTGTCCCCTCTCCCCTGGGTGACCTCAGCAAGCACGTTACAGCTCTCATGCTCAGTTTTCTTCCCATAAAAATTAAGATCATAACAGTCCTTGTGTCTAGATCAGATTGTACAGATTAAGTAAAATGACATTGATAATGCCCTCAGCACAGTGCCTGTCATAAGGTAAGAGCTCAGGAAACATTACTCTTTATTAATAAGAAGCGAACCGTAGAGTGGCACTATCAAATGAACCTGGACTTTAGAATAGGCGTGTTGACCGGTTTGGTTTGTATATTGGTTTGCTAGGAACGCCGTAACAAAATACCGCAGACTGGGCTTAAATAGCACATTTCTTTTCTCACCATCACAGAGAATAGGACTCTGAGATCAAGCTTCCGCAGGCTCGGTTTCTTCTGAGGCCTCCCTCCTGGGCTTGCAGACGCCGCCTTCGCTGTGTGACTCCCTTCAATATTCTATATGCATATCTATACTATACATTTCTATATAGATATCTATATCCCGCTCTTAATACGGACTCCAGTCCTATTAAATTAGGGCCCACCACAATGCCCTAATGTTAGTTTAATGACCTCTTTAAAGGACTTACCCCCAAATATAGTCATATTCTGGGGGGTTAGGATTTCAGCATATGAATTTGGGGGACATGCGGGGAGGAGGAGACACAATTTAAACTGTAGCCGCCTGGACAATCCATCTACTTTTGTTTGGCTTTTTCATGGCTATGAGCTGAGCTTTGAAGAGACCAGGAAAGGGAATCCTCTCTGCCCTGCTCTGCCCATTCTGTGCTCCACTCCCCAGGGCTTGGCGCCGGGAGCTGGCACTGGGAGCTGGCACAACAGAAGCTGCCTTGTGAAATGGAATCCAGAGTGCACAGCCCATGCGCTGTGGGTTAAATGTATCCCCCAAATTCAAATGTCAGAGTCCTAATGCCCAGGCCTCAGAAGGCCACCCCATTGGAGATGAGGTCCCTTCGAGGTGATCGGCGTTCAGATGAGGTCGAGTGTGGGCTCAAACCCAATATGACTGTTGTCATCACAGGGGGAAGTTTGGACCCAGAGGCGCACATACAGGAAGAGATGCAGACTCATCGACAAGCCAAGAGGGAGCCCGGAGCAACCTCCCCTCAGCCTCAGGAGGAGCCAGCCCCGCCGACACCTGGGCCTGGACGATCCTGGGGGACCGTGAGGAAACAGTGTCTGTTGTGTAACCGCCCAGACTGGGGCGCTTGGTGCCAGCCCTAGCAGGGCCGCCTGTGTTTCCTCGCTCACTGACAGCGTCTCACGGTTGCTAGGGTGAGCTGGAGGTGCGACGATGAGGATACACGATTCCTATCCTTTAGGCTTTGGGGTGGTGGGTGCGGGGAGCACAGTTACTTAAAAAAACCATTTGGGTGCAGTGTGGCTGGTGTTCCATTGCCTTGTTTTTCTGGAAATACATTTTCAGCTTTTATTTTAAGTTGGTGGCAAAACACTGACTTCTGCCCAGAAGGAATCATTCTCTGCAGAACGGGGCGAGGGGCTGTTGGGCCTCCCTCAAGCCTCCCGCCTCCTGCGCCCTGGCCTATGCCCCGTCCACCTGGCCGCCCCGTCCTGCCCCCACAGAGTCCTGGGGAAGGAGAACCAGGGCCTGCGCAGCTCGGTCCGCCCCACCCGCCTGCCTCCAGCAGCCCAGTGACCCCCAGTTTCCGAAGAGAAGTCCAGCTCCCGCAGTGGCAACACCCTGGCCCAGCTCCTGTGTCGGCCACGGCCACGGCCACGGCCACGCTGGCCTCCCCCCGGCCCGGGCCTCGGCTTGCGGTTCCTCCTGCCGGCATCTCTTCCCTCCGTGCACCCGGTCAGCCCGCCTCCCTCCCTTCACGTCTTGTTTATTTACCATTTCCGGTAGAGCACTTTCCTCAAGGACCCACGTCAGGGCGAATCTCCCCACATTCACAGCACTGACACCACGGATGTCTGTCTTCTTATGGGAGGCGTCACTTCTCACTAACGTGCGCCATTGATACTGCTGAGCTCTCTGAAGCATGTCTGTGTCCGGTCACTGCAAGGCCCTCGGCGCAATCGGGGCTCAGGGACCACTGGTTGACAGAATCGGTGAATGAACGAGGGAGGGTCACGCTGACCGTTAGACTTTCCAGCCTGGGAGGCAAGCTGTAATGTTTGAAAATAGTAAAGCATTGGTGACCATGGGCAGCGTCGGCACAAATTTGAGTGTTACTGTGAACACAAACTTGGCAAAGTTGTTTGTTGTTCAGTAACTCTTCTTACCGGTGAAAGTTAATTTCTTCCTCCCACTCTGTGAATCTATTTCCTGGATATTTACTAACCGTCTATTCACTACAAAAGTCTCTCATCCACAGTTAGAGAATTTTTAAGTAAGTCTGAGTTTCACTTTTTAAAATAATCAGACAAGTTACTAGATTTCACTGTTAGGCTAGGGATTTTCTAGGCCTTTCTAACTTAGTTTAAATTAGTTGATTGAGTGAAGGACTGTAGGTCAAAGGTGTGCCTGCTCCATAATTTATCTACCAAGTGTGTATTGGCCTGTGCTGGGGTAGAGGGTTATGAGTCTCGAGGCCTGGCCCTGGTGGGGCTGCTGACCTACCACCGGGCACATAAAGGTACACAAACGTTACCGCGGCCAGATAAGGGCTTGCAGAGAACTGTGCACATGCTGTCACCTTCACGGCAGATGGAAAGCCCGAGACTTGCACAGTGACCCAGCTCACCCCGTTTCAACAGGTATCACGATTGGAGAAGGAAATACACTGAATAGGACCAGGCTGTCTGCCCCTTTAGCAAAACCAATAACTAGATATTCATCCGTCCTGACCTTTTAGGAAGAGCAAGCTGATGCTGTCGGCTCCCATGAGAACATCACTGCTGCTCCTTGTCCTGTCCCCGTGCCCCTACCCCTTCCTCCGGGCCGGGCCTTTCCCCGGGGTTTAGTGATTGCTTCACTCTACGCTTGGTCTTTTGGCACTGAGCTCCCTAAGGGAGGGGGACTAATATTCCCCAAATCGCCTGACTTGTCGGCCATCCTCCTTGATTTCTGTTGAAAATACAACATAACTAATTTCCTGTTTAGATCTTTAAGAATTTGGAGTGAATGGGGAAGCCAGAATCTTAAGATACAGATTCAGTCTTTCAATTAGGTTTGGGCAGTATATCCCGCACCTATCTAAGCAGCAGGGAAATTGGGAGGAAATAAAAACGTTAAGCCATTCTTCTGGCTACAGGCACACGCTTTACTGGCCGCCTCTGTTCTGACCCCATCGGGTAGGATTGCTCAGGTGAGGCAGAATGTCTTCTCGGTGGCAGTCAGTCGGAGGCCAGGAGGAAGTGAGAGTCAGACCTCAGGAGGAGGAGGGTCTGTGCAGGGGCCAGGAGTGTGCCCCAGAGCTGATGTGTAGGAACTTTTCTTTTTTAAAAAACAGGAGACACCTTCTCAGTTCATTTCAAATGACCTCAAACATTGCTTAGCCCGGAGTTGCTCAGTGATTACAGGTCTGAGAGGCGCTCCATATGGATTGGTCACCCTGGAAAATTTAAAATTCTTCTTTTCTACTAATTTATACATTCCAGCAGCTGATACATAGCTTGGTGGGAGGGGAGGGAATTGGGAGAAATGTAGGCCAATGAGAGGGAACTGAATGAGGGAACTTCTGGGAAAACTCTTTTTTTTTAAAAATATATTTTATTGATTTTTCACAGAGAGGAAGGGAGAGAGATAGAGTTAGAAACATCGATGAGAGAGAAACATCGGTCAGCTGCCTCCTGCACATCTCCCATTGGGATGTGCCCGCAACCAAGGTACATGCCCTTGACCGGAATCGAACCCGGGACCCTTCAGTCCGCAGGCTCTATCCACTGAGCCAAACCGGTTTCGGCAGAAAACTCTTTAAAAAAGGCCATATCACCTTTTGCCCTTCTGCCTTCCCTGACAGGATTCTAGAAGCTGAGCATTTACCTTGCAGTCACCTGGCAACCAGCGTTGGGGACAAAAGCCACAGGCAAAGGATCGCTGAACAGAAGGCTAGAAGGAGCCGGATGGCCCCCAGCTGCCCTCACACCTGAACGTCCATCCTCTGACTCCTGTGTGGGGCACAGAAGCCAAAGCCGCTGGGGCGCGCTGAGCCCGTCTGTCCAGGGTGACGTTACCCTCGCCAAGTGAGATGCCGGTGGTCCCACTGCGACACGGGACGCTTCTTCCAGATGTGAAGACGGGCTTGGTGCTTGATAGGATGCGCGGGAGGGCAGCTGAGTCAAAACTCATGGCTGCACTTCGCCGGGAAGGAAACTGGTTGGAAGAGAATCTAGTTCTTGCTCTTTCATTTCCACAAAGTCCAGGGACTGGTCACCCGTGTCGGGGCAGGGGACCTGGGGCCCACAGCACTGACAGGGACTCCGTTTACTTACTGTTGAGAGGGACATGGCCCAGGCCCAGCTCTCCCACTGCTGTTCAGGTAGCTAATGTGATTCCTGTGGCTGTACCTCTGCAGCACCTAGAGCACTTTTGTTAGGTTTAATTCTTTATTTTTATGTTTTATTGATTTCAGGGAGAGGAAGAGAGGAATAGAAAAACATCAATAAGAGAGAATCATTGATTGGCTGCCTCCTGGACATCTTCTCCTGGGGATCGAGCCTGCAACCGGGCATGTGCCCTGACCGGGAATCGAACCATGAGCTCCTGTTTCGTGTGTCAACGCTCAACCACTGAGCCACACCGGTCAGGCTGTTAGGTTTAATTCTTCAAGGTGCCTTTACACAGCTTTCCACGTGTGAAATGGTTAGGGATGAAAGCCTGTTCTCACAAGTGTGAGAGATGAAAGATTTGCTGTAAAGGCCAGCACTTTGAGAAAATTCTGGATGATATTATAGAAAAGTCTTGGAAAGTCTAGATCTACTCAATTCTCAGTGAATTGTATCTTTTTTTTTTTTTAATTTTCCTTCTGCTCAGTCATTGTCTGCTCAGAAAATCCAAACTAATTGAAATCTGAGCCCAGTTGTAAATTAGGAAGCTTGTTGGCTAAGAAAATAATAATAATCATGTGCCTCACAGGTGATCTTAGGTTTTGGACCAGCCACACGCGTACATAGCACATGTGGAGTCCATCAGCTGGTCCAAGGTGCCACGCTCATTCAGGGTCATCTTCGTCGTCAGTGCGACAAATGCCAGGCCGACAGCATTTCTTAGAGGATTGGCTTATGTTATCTTTTAAATACCCTAGCAGTGGAAGTATTGGCAAAACAGGGTTTTAAAAAATTACTAATGTATTTGAGCTTTCTTCTTTCAATAAAAGCACTGATAGGCATTCTCAATGTCCTTTCAAGAACCTATTGGAGATGATGCTTACACATTGTGGTTTAGGATTTAAAGGGAGGTTACAACAGTGCTCTGTGGTCCTGACGCTTCAGTGAGGGTGTGATCCGCAGACCCACACCAGGCTCAGACCCGCCACCATAACCTGCAGCGGCTCAGTTTGAAAGGCCTGTGTTACTGCGGAGTCTCGGTTCACTGTACCTGAGAGATCCAGGGCGGTGGCCAAGCTGGACGCAGGAGCTCCAGCAATGCCATCTGGCCTCCCCACCTCTCTCCCTTCAGTTGGTTGTACTTTCTTCCATTTTTACTTAACTTTCACCTGGGCCACGCTGACACCCTAAGAGTTGGAAGTCCGTTTGTAAGCTCCCCAAGAGTTAAAAAAAATAAAATGATACAGAATCAAGTCCCACTGGGGGAACTGAGAATGACTGTTGAAACCAGACACTGTGGATGAGAGATTTGCCTACTCACTGGCCATGTCCGGGTCAGACGCCTGAACCTAGAGCTGGGGTTCCAGTCAGCTCACCAACTGCGTGGACCAATGATGGGAACAAGTATTGGCTCTGTTCCTGGAAGAAGGGGAAAGAATGTTGGGTATAGTTAAGATATCACTGTTCTAGGCTCAACTAGCACTTTGTGGCTACAACGCCTTTCATTGTACTATTTTGTTATTTTTCTCTATTTCTTATTAAATTGTAAATGCCTTGAATTATGCTAAATTATGTCTTTAATTTTCCAAGGAACACGATTATTTGTTATGGCCACCTCTTCCCTCCTGACTCTCTGCTTTGGACAGTGACTAGTATTCAGCTGGCGCTCATCGAATGATATTTGAATGGATGATAGTACGATAGTGGCAAGAACTGCTGCAAGTTATTACTGCAAGTGACAAGGAGATGAGTGTTGGCGAAAGGCTTGCTACTTTCAGTGCATACCAATTCCTGGTTCCCTTTAAGGCAGACGGAGTATCTTCCATGTGATCTGAAATTATCTAACATTTGTAAGTTACAGGGTTCCTTTATAGCTTGTGGGCAGTTAACATCCCCCCAACATGGGTCAAAATTAAATACACCCATATTTGCACTTAATGACAAAACAAAAATAGACAAGAACAAGAAATACAACTATTAATATTAGGAAATAACGACATATTTTATTTTTTGAGGTTTTTAAAATTAAGGTTAAAAAATGAGGTAGAATTGACCATCATAACCTTTTTAAGAGCACAGCACAGCCGTGTTAACTGTGCGGACACTACTGTGCAACAGGTTTCTAGAACTTCCCGTCTTGCAGAACTGAAACTATGCTCATTGCATAGCAGCACCCCCCCACACCCCCCGCTTCTCCCCCTCCAGCCCAGCAAGCACCCTTCTACTTTCTGTTTCTAAGGGTCTGACTAGTTAGCACCTCAGATAAGAGGAATTGCTTCCACACACTTGCCTTTGTGTGGCTGGTTTGTTTCTCGTAGGGGTCACTGATGTCCGTGTCCTCTGGGTTCGTCCACGTTGTCGCATGTGGCAGGATTGCACTCTCTCTCTTCAAGGCTGAATAATACTCCACTGCGTGCATAGGCCACGTTCCCTTTATCCATTGACGGGCATTTATTTGCTTCCCCGTCTTGGCGATGGGGAATGATGCTGCGTTAACACCAGCGTGCCAGTCCCTTCAGACCCCGTCTCCAGTTCTCCCGGGTGGGCGCGCTGCAGTGGGTGCTGAGGGAGGTGGACCGTTTCCGAGGAAGCGCTGTCTTGTTTTCAGAGCATTGCAGTGTTTTACGTCCCCCAGTGGGGACGGGGCATTGGGGTCTCCACATCCTCACCAGAGCCTGTTCTTTCTGCTTTTTGTTTTGTTTTGTTTTGTTTTGTTTTGATGGAGACCATTCCTAAGGGGTATGAGGCGATATCTCATTCTGGCTTTGATTTGTTGAAAATGTACTGAAATGGTTTTCTGAACGGAGTTGCCATGTTCACCTAAAATGTCACTGTGATGAACATAATAGGTGTGGGGACCTGCCACCGGTACTGACCTCGTCCTGGCTGCCATCCAAGCTACAGGTGAAGTTTCAGGGACTTTTTACTGCGAGTTAAATGCTCCCCAATAGGCTCCATATTTACCGTGTGGTTTATTGGTGAGATGATTGGTCAGCTTTTGCTAATAATTATCTAGGCTTCTGAACGTGGAATTCAGCACTTTTACAAAATCCTGTTAAGACAATATAATCTCATGCCCTGTATTGCAGAGTTACACTTGCCTGAGTGAATGCAAATGCAATAAATAAGCCAGAATGGAAACAATGCAGTAATCACTGTAGCACTCGATCCAGACCATGCTAGTCCGAGCTTGCTTTCCTGACTCATTGCAGTTTGCTGTCCCTTCTCTTTACAGGCCATGGTCTCTCCCACGTGAGAGAAAGGACGTCGGGCGCTCTTCTTTCCCCAAAGGACGTGAGCTCTTTACTCTTGGACCTCATCGCACTCTGCACTCCCCGCAGTCCCCCCGGGTGTCTGTGCACATCTGTTCTTGCCCTCCGGGCTCTACTGGAGATGCACATTGAACAGCAAAGCTGCTCGCTTTGTGCAGTGTCAGTGTTGAGCCCCACACGGTCCCTGACGCAGTGATGTCTGACCCAGCCGTGTGGGTCTGGGCTGAAATTCCACCATGAACTTCTTTCCTGAAAATCCACATAATTCTGTGTATCTCCTTGAAACTTAAAGGAGTTGCTGGTGAGCTTCTCCGTGGAAGGACTTGTTTTGTTTGAAGTCCAAGGAGGCCACACAGGCCAGTCAGAGTTTGTTCTTAAGCAGAGGAAACCCCTGGAAGGAAGCACACGACGTGCGTGTGGATGAAATACAGGGTAAGCGATGCAGGTCTGAGCCTTGGCCAGTGAACACCGGGCCGTAGACATACTCCCTCGTTTCTAATAGTAATTTTTCACTTCTTGTTGTAAAAGTGAAAATCACAACAGAGCAAAGCTGTGGCCGTGCTCAGTACGTTGTCACGTGCTGTGGAAACGCGTCTTCAAGGACTAGCAACAGCGGGACCTACATACTAACAGCCGGCACCTCAACCGTGTTCTTTCTTGATGCGGCCGATGGGGTCAGCGCCACTGGGCAGAGGAGGAAACTGGGGTCACGAGGTCGCCCAGCTCCTCCACGTAGAGTTCTGTCTTGGACGCGGGGCTCTGGTGCCGCCTCCTTCGCTGTGCCCACACCGGCCTCTTTGGAGGAGAATCTGGACTTCACCAAAACCAGGAGGGTCCCGAGCTCCAGCCACGCTCTGGCAGCGCGCTTTCATTCCCGCTGAATATATTCCACCAGAAAGATGCTTGTCTCCTCTGGCCCGTGTCCCCGGCCCTCTGCATGCTCGCGCGTGCACACACACACACACACACACACACACATCCACACTCTCACACGCTCACAGCCTAGAGAACAAGAACAGGGTGTGTTGCCGAAACCAGTTTGGCCCAGTGGATAGAGCATTGGCCTGTAGACTGAAAGGTCCCAGGTTCGATTCCGGTCAAGGGCATGTACCTGGGTTGCGGGCACATCTCCAGTAGGAGATGCACAGGAGGCGGCTGATCGATGTTTCTCTCTCATCGATGTTTCTATCTCTCTCCCTTCCTCTCTGTAAAAAATCAATAAAATATATTTTTTTAAAAAAAGAAGAAGAACAGGGTGTGGAGTCCCTGTCTGCTCCAATCTCACCTTCCCACAGAGCCGGCCAGGAGTCCATGCTTTGTGGGGGCCATGTGTGTGTGCGTGTGTGTGTGCGTGTGTGTGTGTGAGTGTGCGCGCGCGCACGTGTGTGCAAGAAATCTCCATCAGAGCAGGGATGGGCAGCTGCCACAGGCCACCTCAGCAATTCCCACGATGCCCGGGAGCTGCAGGGTCTCAGGGTCCTTGGCCACGGCTTCCCTGCCCTGGGAAAGCTCACCAGCTCTGGTTCCGGGCCTGCCAGCCAGTAAATATTTATTAGAGGAAGTGGTGACTGCGTTTGTTCACTGAGTAGCTGCTCTGTTCCACACACTGTTAATAATCATGGTTACGGTTTCCTGGACACTCACCTTTGTGGGAACTGACTCTCATTAATACCGCAGTGACTCCAGGCGTGGTGACTGTACAGGCGACAAGGCAGGTAGCCCAGGATCTTGCTCAGGTTTATACAGAGGGTGAGTGGTGAACCCTGGCCTGTTCCCTGCAGAGCCACCGGCCTTAGGCATGGACCTGGGGCCAGATACTCTCACACCAGGTGTGAGGGGTTGAATTGTGGGCCTCCCCCGAAAAGATACATTGCAGCCCTGGCCCCAGTACCTCTGAGTAAGACCTTATTTGGAAAGGGGGTCATTGCACGTGTAATTAGTTAAGGTAAAATGAGGTCCGATGGAAGCAAGGTGACTCCTTAATCCAATATGGCTGGTGTTCTTACAAGAAGGAGAGAGCAGCTGGGTGAAGATGAGGCAGAGACTGCAGTGATGTGGCCACAAGCCAAGGACTGCCCGGGGCTACAGGAGCTGGGAGAGACCGGGAAGCTCCCGCCCACAGGTTTCCCAGGAAGCACAGGCCTGCGACACCTGCCTGGGCTCTGCCTCTGGCTCCGGAACTGGGAGACGGTGCATTTCTGTTGTTTCAAGCCACCAAGTGTATGACACGTAGTTACCGCAGCCCTGGGAATGCATGCGCCAGGTGGTGCAGTGTTTAATGGAGGCAGATAGGGAGCTCTGAGGAGTCTCTGCTCTACAGGAAAACAGCCGGGGAAACGGACAAGGAGGAAGGGAAGCTTGCAGCCTTTGTGCCTAGTCCTCCAGAGTGAGGAGGTGGGTGGGGGCGCTGGGAAGGTACAGGCCCAGGCCAGGGCAGGGGCGTCTGCATGGCCTGGGAGAGCCTGACGCCCCTGGGTGAAGCCCTGGTGGGGAGAGAGACCGGTGGGGTGACTCTGGGGGTCGGTAGCCTGTGGGGACCCGTGGCCTGCCCGGCGGTGGCCTGGGAACACAAGCCAGGATTCTTGGACGACTCCGAGTAAGTGGGTATGGGGGAGGCCAGGCTGCTCCCCCAGTTACCTCCCGGCTGAGCCAGCCTGCAGTCCAGGCCTGTACCCGGGGCCCCTCGCGGACCGCACAGCGCGCTGCATTCACTTTTCAGAGTTTACGCTGAAAACGTTCACCGAATTATAACTGCATGGGAAGGAAATAGCACTCTGAGTTCTAGAATAAAATTTTTAACTTTGTGAAGGACCCTTCAGGGCTATTGATCAAACAGTGAGTGCGATAGTAAGAAACAAGAGTTAAGCTCAGCCTGTCCTGGACGGAGCCCAGCAGGGATCCTTATGAGGACCAGGGCTCATCATGGACTCCATGAAGAGCCGTGTTGAAGAGGAACACCGAGGGGAGGCGTGCCTACAGGTTATGGAGATCTGCGCAGAGCCGTGTGCAGTAAGAGGCGGGAGGGCACAGACTGGGAGCGGACACACGGGAACTTCCTGCCCCATAAAGATGACTACAAATCAAATCACTGGGAGGATGGGCCCTGAGGGAATTGGGAAACCGCCTCCCTCCCGCATTCCACGAGGGGTGGGGGTGGGGGGGGGAACACTCTCCAGGGGAAAACTAAAAAGTCAGTGGGAGCCTGGCCAGTGTGGTTCAGTGGATAGAGCGTTGGCCTGTGGACTGAAGGGTCCCAGGTTCAGTTTTGGTCAGAGGCACATGCCCAGGCTGTGGGCTTGATCCCCAGTGTGGAGTGTGTGGGAGGCAGTCAATCAATGATTCTGTCATCATTGATGTATGTATCTCTCTCTCTCCCTCTCTGAAATCATTAAAAATATATTTAAAAATAAATAAAATAAAATTTATATTTAAAAATAATTAAAAAATAAAAAGTCAATGGGAGAAAATGAAGGAGAATGTTTTTCTGAAATTGGGGAAGAAAATACTTCTAAAATTGAATGTTAAGAACACAAAACTCTAGCCCTAGCTGGTTTGGCTCAGTGGATAGAGCGTTGGGCTGGAAACTGTAGGGTCCTAGGTTCGATTCCGGTCAAGGGCATGTACCTTGGTTGCGGGCACATCCCCAGTAGGGGGTGTGCAGGAGGCAGCTGATTGATGCTTCTCTCTCATTGATGTTTCTAACTCTCTATCCCTCTCCCTTCCTCTCTGTAAAAAAATCAATAAAATATATTTAAAAACAAAAAACAAACACAAAACTCTAAGGGGAAAACCCCGAATAACTTTGAGTAGAAAGATCAAATCCAACAGCGTGGAAAAAATTAGTTTAGCTAACAGAGAACATATTTGCAATGTCTGAACTGACGGGATTAACAGCTAGGAAACTAGCAAACAGCAAGAAAACCCCAACAAAAATAGAGCAAAGGAATAATTTCCAAATAAGGAACTCTGAGAGGCCAGCAGAGTGGAGACACTCAGACATGCTAGGGATCAGAGGAATGCAGAGTAAACAGTAATGAAGTGCTATGTACTCGTGTCACCACTAAGTGCGGTGGGGGGCGGCGATGGGCACCCCCCTGCCCGCCTGGGGGTGCGGTGCGGGAGCCATGCTGGTTCTTTTCCGTCGATATATATGTATTCGAACTCCTCAATGAGGTGACCAGACCCCTCGGTTTGCCTGGGACAGTCTTGGTTACGCCTCTGGTCCTCTCATGCCCTGAATTGCCCTCGCTTGGATGATAAGTTACATGGCAACCTTCCCAGGATCAACGAATTCACTCATGGTTGTTTGTCCCACGGAAGTGCTCAGGTCCACAGGACGTGTACGCAGTATTCGTGGCATCGGTGGAGGTAGCCTGAATGTCCAGCGTCAGAGGGAGGACAGTTGAGACGTGTGGACACAGACAAGAAGGACTCAGGTGCCAAGGCAGGGAGTAGTGCCCCCCTAACCCCCGCAACACGGTGAATAAGAAATAAGAAAGCAGCCAGAACCGGTTTAGCTCAGTGGATAAAGCTTCGGCCTGCAGACTCAAGGGTCCCGGGTTCGATTCCGGTCAAGGGCATGTGCCTTGGTTGTGGGCACATCCCTAGTGGGGGGCGTGCAGGAGGCAGTTGATCCATTTTTCTCTCTCATGGATGTTTCTGGCTCTCTATCCCTCTCCCTTCCTCTCTGTGGGAAATCAATAAAATATACTAAAAAAAAAAAAGAAATAAGAAAGCAGTGCCGAGAGGGGGCAGAGTCAGAGGGAGAGGCCCGGCCTTTTCTCCTTCATGTACATTAAAGGGTGTGTACACACACAATGCACATTTGCAGAAAATACACATAAACAGAGGTACTCATTAAACAGGATGATGAGGAAACAGAAATGGAAAGAAAAGGGAGTAATTACAACGAAATTCCCCCATTGCTGCATCTGGGTCGGTACCGTTAAGAGCTCGCCACTGTGGGAGCCGCAGAGGAAACCACACCAACGGGGTAGCAACCTCGACTGAACACTGCCCTGGGCCAGATGCCCAAGCAGACCAGGGAGGGAGGGCACGCGTCTTCAAGGAGCCGTAACCACGGTCCTGCCTTAAATGAAGCCTTTTACTAATGAAAAATTCCCTCTCGGCCCTGGCCGGTGTGGCTCAGCGGATAGAGCGTTGGCCTGCGGACTGAAGGCTTCCCGGGTTCGATTCCGGTCAAGGGCACATGCCGGGGTTGTGGGCTCGATCCCCAGTTGGGGGCGTGCAGGAGGCAGCCAATCAATGATTCTCTCTCATCATTGATGTTTCTCTCTCTCCCTCTCCCTTCCTCTCTGAAATCAATAAAAACACATTTTTAAAATAAAGCTGTTTTAACATAAAATTCCCTTTCAGTACGTGGGCCGAGTAAGTCTAGTCTTAAATGTTCTGAGAGTAGCCACAGTATTTGAGAGAATGGAGTCCAGTTTGTTATTAGGGGCAGCTTGTTTCCTGGGTAGT